GGAAATATTCATAGTCGGAAACAACTAATCGCTATTAAAAATCATAAATATACATAATATGTATGTATTGTTTTCTCAATATAATTATTTTATACTCAATACGAAATAACCTTTCTATTTTTGAAAAACGCGTAACTAATATTTTTTACGTGTAAAAGGTACAAAGAATCAAACATGATATTCATTAGGATAAAAAGAACAAACATGGTTTAACAATAAACTTTCCCTTTTGAAAGACGCGTATCAAATATAATGAGTAGAAATCTATGGATAATTAAAGGGCATTCAATGGTTTGTGCAGAAATATGATCATTGCACCAGCTCATAGCAAGTCTATAGAATTAAATCCTACATAGGTATAGTGAGCTATATATGGTTGCTACATGGAAATGTGTATCCAAATTTTTGTTCCATTAGGTTAAAATTTCGTATAACATTTCCTCAGGCTCAAATTCTGTAGTATTAAAATAATATTTAATTAATAAAAGTTTCATTTTATAAACATAAATTAATAATTTTGAGATATCACGTATGTAAATAGAATAAAGAAAATGAGAAAAACACTTATTTTTGTGATCTTTAAACTGTTTACATCAATTTTGTTGAAATGTTCTAACAATTAATTTAAAGCATGTGAAAGTGCGGGTTTGAAGACGATAGGTTGCTTTCTGTCAATTGGTGGCCCCGCTGCGTTGCCATATAAACTAGATTCACTAAATATTTTTTTAACTCTATTGATTGTTACTTCCTTCTGATTTTATTATAAAGAGTAAGTCACAATTTAAAAAGAGACAATGATATTTTTATATGATATTTTATAATTTTCATAAAATATTAATTTTTTTTATCTCTATTAAAAATTGTAGAAATACATGTTTTTTTATTAGATAATAAGAAGATAATTTAATAAATAAATATTTTCTCTTACATCTTAAATTCTTCAATTACCATTTATCTATTTTAATTATGAGTAAGATGAAAAAAATTAATATATTATAAATTTAATAAAATTAACTAACATAATTATTTATATTAATATGTGTGATTCAGTTAAAAGTATTTTAAAATAAGGTTTGAAGAAAGTAGGCCAACTAAATTGGCACCTATAATACTTGTCTGACTCTAATCCAATTTTAACGAAGAAAACTCACTGTGACCAGATATGAGTTTAGATATAAATTTTTTTTTAACTGAGAATTCGAGTTCGAAAATGTAACTCCCTGCCCAGCCCCCTATATCGATCCCTATTCCACTACATTTTTTTTAAGTAAAGAAATATATATATATATGTTCTGGTTTCAGAACGGGCCGTTCCAGGTTCATGAAAGAAGGACTATGGAAAAATATAATTATATAATTTAAGAAGATTATATAATTTAATTCTTAAATTTTTATTTAAAATTTTTTATTAATTAATTTTGTTATATTATTTATATTATAATATAATTCTTAACTTATAATAGGGGGACCAAAATCCGACTACCACCCATTCCAATGTCATCACTAAAAGAGATCATCAATTTAATTTTGATAAATATAAATGTTTTATTAAATTTGATTATTAAAATTAATAATAGAGAATTATTATTTATATAATAATATTATACAATGAACTTTATTATTTGTATCATCTTTGGAAGGTGAACCTATTATGAGTTATTAAAGTATTTTTTGTGGTCCCTCAATGTCACGTAGACTTACAAAATTTTCTCTAATTTTTGCTTTAGTAGAAGAACTTTCCCTAAGTTCTTAATCACTTTTTGTGATACCAAATTTTTATATGTTTATTTAGAATCATTTTGTTAATTATCGGGTAGTTTCAATATGTAAATATTTTATATTTAATTTTGAATAACATATTAATAATAGACTAACATTACATAATTTTAAAAATTAAGAAGACTTATAAATTTGTAATAAAAATTTTCAAGAAAATTACACATTTGCAAAATTATAAAATTCAAGAGTGAATTTAAGCCAAATTAAAAAAAAGGTTTTTTAATTAATTATAAATTTCAATTGAAATATATATATATATAAGAAAAAACAATGTTCATTTTGTGAGACCCCTTTTTCCTTTTCTTTCTTCTTTCACTCTCACTCACTCTCATACTCTTCTTTCCCAAAATCCTCCACTCATTTGCTGACTCCTTGTGGTGATCTCTTTGAGCTTAGGTGCTGAGTAGTGGCGTTTGGAGCTAGCTGTGGGCGTGAAGCTTGTTTTTCTTCTCCGTTTGTCTTTCCTCTTCTCCATTTCTTCTCCTTCTTCATTGTCTTCTTCGTCCCAGAGCTCAGAATTCTTGTACCGAGGTAAGGGAAGCTAGGTCTTTGGCTGTATGGGTTGTAAATGAGTTCATAAACTCATTGTGTGGCTGATTTTATGATGATTGTTGAGCCGTGCGATGAAAATTCATTTTCGGGGTTTTTCGGGGTTTTGATGAAAATTTGGGTTTTTGATGATTTGTGGTTCCATGTTGAAAAAGATTGTATTTTTTAGATGTTTGATGAAAATGTGGACTTTTGGATGGATTGCATGTTGGTTTTTGGTTGATTTTGCAGGATTTGATGAAGTTTTCGAAAGTTTGAGGGTTACTGCTGCTGGGTGTCGTTCTTCGCGTCGGGCGCGTGACCACTAGAGGGCTCCATTTAGGCAAGCTCGCTGGGCGCAAAGGTGTGTGCGCCGGACGAGCTTGAGAATGTGAGCCTCTGGATGGCCCACGCCGGGCGTGACTTGGACCGCGGCGGGCGCGATATCAGTTGTAACATGTTTTTGGGTTTTCTGGAGCCGCGCCGAGCGCGACCATGTCGCGCTGGGCGTGAGGACTCCTTGGGAGTCTCTTCCAAGGGGGCGCTGGGTGCAATTAGTATTGCGCCGGGCGCGAGACTTGGGAGGTCTCTGCCTTCCTCGCGCTGGCCGCGGGTTTGGGCACGCCGGATGCGTGAGACTCCTTAGAGTCTCTTCCTGGGTTTGCGCTGGGCGCAATTGGAATTGCGTCGGGCGCATTTTGAGCCTTGAGCTCTCTGGCTGGTCTGCGCTGGGCGTGGGTACTCTTGTGCCGGGCGCGCTGGCCCCTGGTGCTCTCTGGTTGTGCCGCACCGGGCGCGACCATGAGTGTACCGGGCGCGGAAGTGATGTGTAGCTATATGCTGTTAGATGTTGTGAAATGATGATAAATGTTATTTTATGCTGAGTTGAGCTGTTATTGATGAATATTGGGAGCTGAACGATAATATATTGCTGTGTTGTGAATTATTAATGCTGAATTATGATGTGTGAGTTGTGCTATATGTTGTTAATGCTGTAAGATGTGTTGTGCAGTATGCTAATATAAATTGTTGTAGGCCGTAAGGCTGAGCTGTTGTAGGCCGTAAGGCTGAGCTGTTGTAGGTCGTAAGGCTGAGCTGTTGTAGGCCGTAAGGCTGAGCTGTTGTAGGCCGTAAGCCTGAGCTGATGTAGGCCATAAGACTGAGCTGTTGTAGGAGATCTCCGAGCTAATATGTGTGATGACGCATTGTGTGTTTATTGCCGTTTATGTTGTATAGTTGATGAGCCGTATACTGATGATGTGCTGATAGCTATAGCTGTTTACTATTCATGTATTTTTATATATATGTACGTTGATTCTTTTCACTAGCTTACCCTTTGTTGTTCCATGTGTTTGGACTGTGATGATCATACGTCGTACGGGAGAAGAGCAGGGCTAGGTGGGTGAGTTGAGCCAGGTCTACAGCTGGCAGATAGAGCTGGTTCTTTTTATGTTTTGTTGTTTTAGCTACCTAGGGTGGCATTGTTGGATGAAATTTGTATACTCTGATGTTAGCCCCAGATTAGACCTTGTGTATATATTGTAACTGCTTATTTATATATGCATACTCTTTTCTGTGTGGTATTGTGGTGTTGTGCTATGTGTAGTGACCAGTCGGGTCGTTACACTTTAGTGGTATCAGAGCGGTTTAAGTGGACACTCTTTGGGGGTGGTTCCTTTAGGCTTTTGTTGTGCTGAACTCTGTGCTATGCTGATTTCCTTGTTGATTGTTGTGCTGTTGATTGTTATTTGGTTTAGTTATTGTATACTAAAGATGCTGTTACTTTTGTAAACAATGACTAGAACTAATGAGCAGATAGCTCGTGCCATGAAGATGATGGCTATGGCTATGCAGCAGCAAAATGCTTATTTTGCTAGGATGGACTCTGATAGAGCTGCGGCTGGTGCAGCAAGGCCCATGGGGTCACAGGAGAGCCGAGATCTAGCTGAGTTCCAGAAATGTCATCCTCCACAGTTCAAGGGAGATGCAGACCCAAAGGTAGCTGACCACTGGATCTGTGAGCTGGAGAAGATCTTTGCTGTTTTGGGATATTCTCAGGAGAGGAGGCTGGCATATGTTGTGTACATGCTGGTAGGAGAGGCTGAGCATTGGTGAAGGGGTACTCACTATATGCTTACTGCTAAAGGAGTAGTTGTTGACTGGGAGTGCTTCAAGAGAGTGTTCTTGGAGAAGTACTTCCCAGAGAGCGTGAGGCACGCCAAGGAGGCTGAGTTCATGCAGTTGCACCAGGGAGGAATGACAGTATCTGATTATGCGATGAGATTCGAGCACCTGGCTCGTTTCTATTCGCAAGCTATATCTGAAGCCTGGAAATGCAGGAAGTTTGCTGAGGGTCTGAAGCATGAGCTGAAGAGGGTGGTGGTACCTATGGCCATCACTAAGTTTCCGGCCTTAGTGGAGAAGGCGAAATTTGTTGAGCGGTTGGAAGGTGGCAACCGTGTGATATGAAGACTTCTGAGGGACCAGCTGGGTCCAAGAGAGGAGGAAATCAGACGAAGCCATATGATAGGCCCCAACCACAGCAAGGGGGTCCTGTCATTAGGCAACCTGCTGATGCTGCTAGAGGAGGGAGACAAGGTGGAGGTGCTACCCTTAGATGCTACAGGTGTGCTGGGCTCCATCTTGTCAGGGATTGTCCACACACAGAGAGCCGGTGTTTCAGATGCCAACAGATGAGTCATGAATCGTTCAACTGTCCCACCAGAAATAGACTAGAGAGGGGTGCTCAGAGGAGTGATACTCAGAGAGGCGACGCTCAGAGGGGTGACAGACCCACTACTGCTGGGAGAGTGTTTTCTTTGACTGGGGCTAAGGCTTCGACTTCTTCTGACCTGGTGAAGGGGAAGGGTAAAGCTGTTGGTAAGAATGTGATGATTCTTTTTGACTCTGGTGCTTCTCACTCTTTTATTTCCTATGCTTGTGCTGCTATGCTGGGTGTGCCGATATGTGATTTGGGGTTGAGACTACTAGTGTCGATGCCCGCTTCTGCTTCGGTAGTTGCTTCGGAGCTGTGTGCTGGTTGTCCGATTGAGGTGAATGAGAAGAGGTATAAGGTGAACTTGATTTGTTTACCTTTGGTGGATATTGACATAATATTGGGGATGGATTGGTTGTCTGTCAATCGCATCCTTATAGATTGTGCCAATAGGAGGCTGATCTATCCTCAGGTGGAGGAGGAGTTGTTGATTTCAGCTGGCCAAGCTGAATCATTGTTGAGAGATGGAGCAGAGTGTTGTCTTCTGCTTGTTGTCATGAGTGTGGAGACCGAAAGGGTTATAGTTGAGATTGACGTGATGAGAGATTTTGTTGAGGTGTTCCCTGATGAGGTGTCTGGGTTGCCTCCTGCTAGGGAGATGAAGTTTAGCATTGACTTGGTTCCAGGTGCGGGGCCAGTGTCGGTGGCTTCCTATAGGATGGCTGCTGCTGAGTTGGTTGAGCTGAAAGGTTAATTGGAGGACCTGTTGGAGAAGCAGTTGGTACGGCCGAGTGTATCGCCGTGGGGTGCTCCTGTGTTTTTAGTGAAGAATAAAGATGGGGGTAGTCGACTGTGTGTTGATTACTGACATTTGAACAAGTTGACCATTAAGAACAAATATCCACTTCCCCGGATAGATGACTTGATGGATCAGCTGAAGGGAGCATCGGTTTTCTCGAAGATTGACTTGAGATCAGGTTATCACCAGATCAGGGTGAAGGAGGGTGACATACCGAAGACTGCTTTCAGGACTAGGTATGGTCACTATGAGTATGTTGTGATATCGTTTGGTGTGACCAACGCCCCAGCAGTGTTCATGGATTACATGAACAGGATATTCCGGCCCTTCTTGGATAAATTTGTGGTGGTGTTCATTGACGACATCCTTATTTATTCAAGGACCTTGGAGGAGCATGGTGAGCACTTGAGGTTGGTGCTTGAGATTTTGAAGGCAAAACAACTGTACGCTAAGATTTCAAAATGTGAGTTTTGGTTGGATGAAGTGAAGTTCTTGGGACATGTGGTTTCAGTTGAGGGAATTGTTGTTGATCCGGCTAAGGTGGAGTCCGTGTTGTAGTGGGAGCGTCCAAGAACTGTCACTGATATTCGGAGTTTTGTGGGTCTAGCGGGTTACTATCGAAGGTTCATTGAGGGATTCTCTAATATAGTAGTGCCCCTAACCCAGCTGACAAGGAAGGAGCAGCCGTTCATTTGGACTGATGCTTGTGAGCAGAGTTTTGAGGAGTTGAAGAGGAGGTTGACTACTTTTCCTGTGCTAGTGTTGCCCGATTCTAGTGAGTCCTTTGATGTGTACTGTGATGCCTCTCACCAGGGTCTGGGGTGTGTGGTGATGCAGAACAGGAAAGTGGTGGTATATGCTTCAAGGCAACTGAAGAACCATGAGAGGAATTATCCCACTCATGACTTGGAGTTAGCAGCTGTTGTGTTTGCCTTGAAGATATGGAGACATTATTTGTATGGTGCTCGATTCAGCATCTTCAGTGATCACAAGAGTCTAAAGTACTTGTTTGATCATAGGGCTGTGCAAGCTATTAAGGACATGGCTGCCGCCTTGTTAAGGAATCAACGACCGGAAGGAATGGGGGAGTCACAAGGATTAGTGGAATTTAGGAGAAATAAACCTTCCCACATGTGTTTTCTAGCTAGAAATATTATTTATATATATACGTATATTACTGTGATTAACATTAATATGACTAGGCGTTATATTTTAATGGTATCAGAGCAACGTTCCATGTGTAACTTGGGAAATGTGCTAACCATGTTTCTAGTATGATGAACTAACCTATAAAAATTTCAGATGGCAGGGAGAAGAAATACAGAACTGACTGAGGCTGTGCAAGCTATTAAGGACATGGCTGCCGCCTTGTTAAGGAATCAACGACCGGAAGGAATGGGGGAGTCACAAGGATTAGTGGAATTTAGGAGAAATAAACCTTCCCATTTTGATGGAGGATATAATCCTGAAAAAACTGAATTATGGATTAAAGAAATAGAAAAGATATTTCGAGTCATGAACTGTCCTGATAACCAAAAAGTAAACTATGCAGTGTTTATGTTAGTAGGAGAAGCGAAATATTGGTGGGATAGTACTAGAAGATTATTAGAAGCAGGAGGAATAATTATTACATGGGAAGTGTTTAGAGCAAAATTTTTTGAAAAATATTTTCCTAATGATGTTAGGAGGGCTAAAAAAATAGAATTTATGCAATTAAAACAGGGTAATATGACAGTAGGAGAATATGCCTCTAAGTTTGAGGAATTGGGGAAGTATTCTACTTTCTTTTATCAACCTGATGAGAGAATGAAGTGTATTAAATTTGAGGATGGACTTAGACCAGAATTAAGAAAGGCAGTAGGAATATTAGAAATTTCTGATTTTCCCACATTAATACACAAGTGTCGTTTTCTGGAAGGTTTTGATCATAATAAGGATAATAGACCAAAATTTTTTGGCCCTCAGTTTAATAAGAAAAGGAATAATGAAGGAAAACCTTATGATCGACCTCAATGGAAACCCCAATCTTCTCAATTTGCAGGAAATTCTAGTAGACCCATGAATAATCCAGCTAAGTGTCTTAAGTGTGGACAGGGTCATTATACTAAAGACTGACATCTCAAGGAACCTGTTTGTTTCAAGTGTGGAAAGCCTGGTCATGTGTTTTCTGAGTGAGGACAACCAACGGCGCATGCCAATACTTCTGGATCCAAACCGAGACCTCCTACAACTGGGAGAGTTTATACCATTACCGGAACTGAAGCGGCTCAAAACAACAATCTAATACAAGGTACATGTTTCATTAAAGGCAAAACTTTAAATGTACTGTATGATTCAGGCGCAACTCATTCTTTTATCTCCAATGATTGTGTTCAACACCTTCAATTGTCAGTTTCTTCTTTAGAGTTTGACCTAATTGTTTCGACCCCTACAAACAAATTTGTAATTGCCAAAAAGGTTTGTTTAGACTGTCCTATTTTTATTAGTGATAGAAAATTTCTTGTAAATTTGATTTGCTTACCTTTATCACAATTAGATGTGATTTTAGGTATGGACTGGTTATCTTCCAATCATGTCCTTCTCAATTGTGCAGAAAGGTTGTGAGTTTGAAAATTTTCTTTTATTACTTATTTGTGTTCTCAATCTATAAATATATATATAAACGTATAAAATTGAGGTTAATATTTATACTATTAGACGTTACATTTTAATGGTATCAGAGCAACGTTCCATGGGTAACTTGGGGAAATGGGCAAACCATGTTTCTAGTATAAGAAACTAACCTATGAAAAAAATTCAGATGGCAGGAAGAAGAAATACAGAACTGACTGAGGCTGTGCAAGCTATTAAGGACATGGCTGCCGCCTTGTTAAGGAATCAACGACCGGAAGGAATGGGGGAGTCACAAGGATTAGTGGAATTTAGGAGAAATAAACCTTCCCATTTTGATGGAGGATATAATCCTGAAAAAACTGAATTATGGATTAAAGAAATAGAAAAGATATTTCGAGTCATGAACTGTCCTGATAACCAAAAAGTAAACTATGCAGTGTTTATGTTAGTAGGAGAAGCGAAATATTGGTGGGATAGTACTAGAAGATTATTAGAAGCAGGAGGAATAATTATTACATGGGAAGTGTTTAGAGCAAAATTTTTTGAATTTTCAGTATTATTTCAGATAGAGATCCGAGGTTCACTTCTAGATTTTGGCAGAGTCTACATCAAGCCTTAGGCACGAAGCTGAAGCTGAGTTCTACTTATCATCCGCAGATGGATGGTCAGTCAGATGGGACAATCCAGTCCTTGGAGGATCTGCTAAGGGCTTGTGTGTTAGACCACTTGGGAAGCTGGGAGGAGGTCCTATCGCTAGTAGAGTTCACGTACAATAATAGCTTTCATGCTAGTATTGGGATGGCGTCGTTTGAAGCCTTGTATGGCAGGAAATGTAGGACTCCTCTATGCTAGTATCAAGATGGTGAGTTAGTGGTTGTGGGACCGGAGCTGATCCTACAGACTACTGAGAAGGTGAAGCTGATTCAGGAGAGGATGAAGACTACTTAGAGTAGGCAAAAATCATATGCTGATAAAAGGCGCAAGCCTTTGGAGTTTGCTGAAGGGGAGCATGTGTTTCTGAAGGTGACCCCGACTTCTGGTGTGGGTAGAGCGCTAAAGGCAAGGAAGTTGACACCGAGGTTTGTTGGTCCCTATCAGATCATACAGCGTGTGGGTCCGGTGCCTTATCGGTTGGCTTTGCCACCGTCTCTTTCAAACCTACACGATGTATTTCATGTATCCCAGCTAAGGAAGTATGTTCATGACCCTGGTCATGTGGTGGAGCTGGATGATGTGCGGGTGAAGGAGAATCTGACGTTTGAGAAGTTGCCGGTAGCTGTTGCAGATCATAAGTTGAAGGAGTTGAGGGGCAAGTCTATTGCTCTGGTGAAGGTGTTATGGGATGCAGCTACTGGTGAGGCTACTTGGGAGGTGGAGCAGAGTGCAGGGAGCAATATCCATTTCTATTCCCAAGTAAGTCTATTTTCGAGGACGAAAAATCCTGTTGTTGGGGAGGCTGTGAGACCCCCTTTTTCCTTTTCTTTCTTCTTTCACTCTCACTCACTCTCATACTCTTCTTTCCCAAAATCCTCTTCTCATTTGCTGACTCCTTGTAGTGATCTCTTTGAGCTTAGCTGCTGGTTAGTGGCGTTTGGAGCTAGCTGTGGGCGTGAAGCTTGTTTTTCTTCTCCGTTTGTCATTCCTCATCTCCATTTCTTCTCCTTCTTCATTGTCTTCTTCATCCCGGAGCTTGGAATTCTTGTACCGAGGTAAGGGAAGCTAGGTCTTTGGCTGTATGGGTTGTAAATGAGTTCATAAACTCATTGTGTGGCTGATTTTATGATGATTGTTGAACGGTGCGATGAAAATTCATTTTCGGGGTTTTTCGGGGTTTTGATGAAAATTTGGGTTTTTGATGATTTGTGGTTGCATGTTGAAAAAGATTGTATTTTTTAGATGTTTGATGAAAATGTGGACTTTTGGATGGATTGCATGTTGGTTTTTGGTTGATTTTGCAGGATTTGATGAAGTTTTCGAAAGTTTGAGGGTTGCTGCTGAGCATCACGCTGGGCATCGTTCTTCGCGCCGGGCGCGTGACCACCAAGGGGC